TCAGAGAATATATGTTGTATTTGAATTCTTTTATATTTATTGAGGGTTTTATAGACATCTTAGTAAAAATTCCAAGTGCATTTGAAAAGAATGTATATTCTATTTATTTTGGGGCGGGGGGGGGGTTACTGGGGATTTAACCCAGGGGGCACTTTACCACTGAGCTACTTCCCCAGCCCTTTTTATTTTTTATTTTGAGACAGGGTCTCACTCAGTGGTGAGGCTGTTCTCAAACCTGCAATCCTCCTGCCTCATCCTCCAGAGTTGCTGGGATTACAAGCATGCACACTTGTCCAGCTTTTCCTTCTTTGGAATTGAACATTTTGTATTTCATTTTATCTCATTTGCTAACCTATCAGTTTTAACCTTCCTGTCCTACAGAAATCCTATTAAAGAATAAATGTTTACCGCTCTACATTCTGCAGTAATGCGTTATGTAGCAACAGAAAACACGTATAGAACCTGACAGGTAGTCTTCCTCAATTCTGAACATCTTCACCAGCCCCTAAGGGTTGGGCCACTCCTTGGGTTCCCCAGTATGAGATTTAGACAAATGAGATAGAATGAAGCCAATCTCTAGGCTGCTTTCCTCTGGTCGGCAGTATTTCTGGAGTTTGCGTTTAATATGAATTTTGAGTGAAGCTTCTAATTTGCTGCTATATATGAAATATACTCTCTCCCAAAAGCCCTCTGCTGGGCATGTCCTATCCATTTTCCAGAGGTTAGTTCTTTGAGAGAAGTTTCTGGAAGAAACTTCTAGTGAAGTTTGTGGTCAAGGGCTCTATCTGAAGCCCACAAGTCTCCTTGGGGAATTCAGATTGGTACATTCACGAAAGTCATTCAGGGATCTATGGTGGAGACAGCAGCCGGCCTGGGAGTGGAGCTCTGCTAGATACAGACAGAATGGCATGTTCTTTGTCCATTAGTCATTTATACCAATGGACTGCATCAGTATAGGACTAAAGATGAATTAAGTCAGCTACAGTCTCTAGGGATGAATTTAGATATGCAGGCTGAGCAAATTCCCAAACAGAGCAAATGTGCATCAGCTCAGACAAAAGGGGAGGGGGAAGGACCCAGACTCCATGGGAATCTATCAGGTGCTTGGAGTTTACACACTTGCATTCTGTATCCAGGGTCCCATCAGCAAATTGTGCAGATCTAGCACAAACCATATGCTTGGTCCCTTCTCAGAGTGCAGATATTTAAGTCCTGACCTGGCACTGTAGTAAGGAAGGCCAGCTGGCCCTTACAAATTGCTAACACTTACTTTGGACTTCTCAAAGAAATACCAAGATCCCTGTGGGGAAGGGCATTGTATGAGAGGATGGTAGCAGTTACTGACCCTTGTGACCCCTGTGTCAAGGCACAAAACTTTAGCCAAGACCTTGCTCTCCAGGACACTGTGGCAGATAACAAATCATTTCATCCTCCCAACTACCTCAGGAGGGGGATACTATTATCATCCCAATCTTACAGGTGAGGGAAACTGAGGTGTGGAATAAGTTCCTAAAAGAGGCACCAACCATTGACTGCCTTCTCTCAGGGCCCCTAGAACAGTGGTTCTTCAAAGTGTATTCCATGGAGGTAGCAGAACTAGAAAACTGGTTAAAAATGCAAATTCTCCTATTTTCTCCAGACCTATAGAGTCAGAAAGCCCAGGGTGGGGTCAGGCGCTAACTGGTCAAACACTTCCACAATTAGCAATTAAATCATGCACAAACCTACAATTAGATAAATTATACTAAAAATAAAGGTAGAAGTACCTAGAATACTTTGCTTCCTAATTGTTTGACTACGTTTACTGTGTCCAGTGCTCTCAGCTTACTCACCTCTGATGCAAACACTGTAGCACATCTCTTCCCAGCTCCACCTTCGAAGACATCATGAAAGCACATGGAGGGGAGGGATGTGAATATCACAGAGGTTGGCAAACACTCCAAATCATGGTGCTTTTTTCTTCGTTGCTAAACACCACTGCAACACCAGCTAGTTCTTTCAGATTGAACAAGCCCTAGGGTGGTTTGGGAAGTAAGCTCAAGGCTGAGTATTTCAGTTGGACGCTTTATATTGACTCCTTATTGTCCTGTTATCCCAGTCTTAACACGTCAAATCACTTAGATTTAGCACTTATCACTCCTTCTGCTACCCTGCCCTCCAGCCCCACCTCAGTGCCTAAACTCCTGGAATCAAAGCCTGGCTCTGGACGTGTGGAAGGTGGGGGATCAGTGCAGCTGAAGACCTGTACTAAGAGACCCTTGCAATGGTAGAGACACATTTAGATTCACCTGTGAGCAAGGTGAACAGCAGATCTCAAAGTCACAGCCTGGCTTCTTGCAAGAAAATTCAGCCTGCTGACGGAAATGAGGGAAGCACAGTGGGGGAAATAGGGTTCCAGTATCAGCCCCACGTCACCAGATCACACCCCAGCTCTCTCTGGCCAACTGTGGAGCACAGGGGCAATTGCTTTGCGTCTCCCATCTCCATCTACTGGAAGATGGCAATAGTAGTTCCCCCGGGTGGGGCATCTTGATTAAATTCAATAGTTAAGGCCAAGAACCAGAAACACAGAAACAGCTCCATAAACAGAAGTTATTTCTGCTTTTTACATTTAGCTGGAGTAGCAAGTAATGTCAATGTCAATATTGTTTCTCCCATTTTACAGATGACAGATATTGAGGCATAGGAAAGAAGAAACATGCCCAGAATTACAGAGACTCAGTTACTGAAACAGCAAATACCCAAGACGCATCCCATTAGGCAGTGATGGATCTCACCCACGCCCTCTAATGAGCATGTTCCCGTATCCCGAGGCTGCAGTCCTAATTTATTCCCAGTAGCTCCAGGTTCCTAGCAAGAAAGGAACTGTTAATTCAGTTACAATCATTACCAGCTGGTTCTCTGGTTTATTGCTGTAATTTCTCTAAAGCGAGCATCTGTGGGTAGAGACATCATTCTGACTTTACGTTGCTTAAATAAGAAAAGGCATTTCTACTTGGGCTTGCAGCGCAAGATGCCAGCAGACTTGTGAGGGCTCCAGTCACCCCGTTACAGCCAAGATTTGCCTAGAAAAGGCCTGGCTTAGCTATAGGTAAATTGGTTAACCAGTCTGTGTCCCAGTTTCCTTAACTGTGAGACAGGAGTCATAATAGTACTTTGTGTGGCTGTTGTGCATATTAAATGAATTAGTACTTGCCCAGGAAAGGAGCTCTCTGTCAGCACACATGGGGTGGGCCTGGGGGTGACTGGCTCAAATCAGACAACTGTGCCCCTCACCTGGACACATATATATACAGGGATGCTGCTCCCCCACCTAGTATGGAGCCCAAACACAATAAGAGCAGAGATACATTTAGCAAACACACAGTTCTCACTAAGTGCCAGGCTCTGCTCTAAAGTGTTCTGAGTACTCCTTTAACTCACACCACAGCCCCACATGAACTGTTTTTATTCCTGTTTTTTTCATAGATAAGAAAACTGAGACACAGAGAAGTTCAGAAATTTACAGGTAGCTGAGCCAGGATTTGAACTCAGGAGCTGGCTGCAGGGATTGAGTTTGAAATGAATTTCCTATGAAGAGACCCCAAAACTGCATAGCCCAGCCCTACACAGTTAAGTAAAAGTGAATGTGAATGAAATGAAGGAAGTCCTCAGCAGAGATGAAAGTCCTTACTAGGAGGGTGAAGGAGGCCCTGCCTAGCCGGGGGGTGGGGCAAGGAGGGGGTGGTCTTGAGAATCCCTCATCTCCTGGGTAGGACTCACCAGACATGAATCTGGCATATGAACATTCCTGAGAAGTGAGAGTTACTGTCCCATGGTGCAGAACATAGGAAGTTAGCATCAGAGGAATGAGATGGTTTACCTGAGGTCACACAGTATAGCAGTACAGGGCAGGAACTCAAACCTGTCCCTACACCCCTGGCATCTTTCAATTCAGCTATCAGATTGCAGCATTAGAAAGCAAAGTGGAATCCGCCTCCTCGAACATACACAGTTGGCCCTCCATAATCTCAGATTGCATTTCCACGAACTGAACCAACCACAGATTGAGAAATTCAGGAACTAATTGTATCTGAACTAAACATGTACAGACTTTTTTTTCCCCTTGTCATCATTATCTAAACAATATAGTCTAACAACTATTTACATAGCATTTACATTGTATTGTGTATGTTAAGTAATCAAGATGATTTAAAGTCTACCAGAGGATGTGCATATGTTATATACAAATCCTACATCATTATATAAGGGACTTGAGCATCTGTGGTTGTAGGGATCCATGGGGAGTCCTGGATACAGAGGGACGACTATATTCATGTGTGCCAGGCAGATGGCACTATCTAGGTTGGGGACTTTGTGCATGGTAGCTAACTCCCATTTTACAATTAAAGAAACGAGACCTTGAGCTGTGGATGTAGCTCAGTGGCAGAGCATTGCCTAGCCTACACAAGGCTCTAGTTTCCATCCCCAGAATCAAAAAATAAAACATTAAAATTAATTTAAGTGAATAAATAAAACCAAGATAAGAAATGAAATTTCACCCTGCCAGGACATGGAGGAACTAGATACACCCAGATCTATGATGCTGCCCCCGTGTCACCTCAGAGCCAAGCCTCAGATGCTGGCCTTCCTCTCCCTGAAGTTCTTAATGCCTACACCACTACAGGCCTAGACAGACTACAGATGGGCCCCTGGCGGGGGCAATGGTAACAGCTCACACTTGTCTTTCCTTGCCTTCTGTCAGGCCGTCCTGTAGGCAGAGCTCCTCCACCTGTGGGTGCAGGCAATAGTGCCCACCCTACTCCACCTGAGAGCCCTGTGCAGGGGCCCCCTCTGTGCCTGGCGCCCTGTTATGGAGAGGAGGCACTTGCTTCTCTTTGGCACCCCATTTCCCTGCTAGACCCTAAAGGACTTGACTTCTACCCTCCTCTCTTCAGGGATCATGATGACAATTTCCGGCCATTTCATGCTTCCTGTGTTTGTGTTTGTCTCCATTTTAGGGATTTATTTCTCTACAAGGGACCCAGGTGACTGAACTTCTTCCTGGCCCTGAGGACCCGGGAAAACACCTCTTTGAGATCAGCCCAGGTAGGATTGAGCACCCTGTGCTGGCCCTGATGGGGGTGTCACCGTGTCCCCTGCTTGGGAAGCGCAGATCCCCATGTTGTGGCTCTCTGAAGGAGTTTCAGCACTCTCTCCAAGCACAATTCAGAGATGTGGGTCTAAAGAACAGTGCACATTGGGAAGGAATTAGACAATCCACTAAGGTGATTGTATAATTAGCTTTTGGGTGAGAGGAATATGTGTATTTTTAAATTGATGATAAATGCAGAGAAAGAAACTAGTCATCCTAGGGTGAAGGTCCAAGGGTAAGGAAATCCAGAGTCTAATGCTAGTACAGATTTAGAGGGTTAAAATAAGACTTATCATGAATCCCAAAACAGAACTAGGATGTATGGGAAGGAAGGTAAATAATTTAGGTCAAAGAACTGTTATCCCATTAAGAGTTATAAAACCATTCTTTGAAGCTCCAAGTTTTACAGTGTGGTTGTTACTGAACTAAGTCAAAGTGTCTGGCAGATGAGGCTCTCTGGTTTTGCAGCTGGGCAGGGTTTTATTTAGCCTGGCCTCCATCAGAAGCAGAGCCTAAGACAAAGATCTGAGCAGTTTATTCTGAAGGTATCCCCAGAAAGCATGGGGAAAGGGACAGGGAAGGGAGGGAGCCAGTTGGGGTATGTTAAGGAGCAGATTGCTACTTGGGCACCCCACTCAGTCCAGTGACTCCTGAGATGGTGCAAGGCAGGCCTCAGAAGTGTCTTGCCCAAGGAATGGGAGACTAGGGACATACCAGCCAACCATTGAGAGCTGCATCCTATAGATTGCACCCTTCTCCTGCCCCATGCATGGACCAAACTACCTGCAAACAGAGATGGCCTTCAGCAACAGTTGCATATGCTTGAGGAAAGAGGCCACCAGCATGATGGGAAGAGTGAGTGTGAAGGAGTCTGGGCAGAGGACTGGGAAGTAGCAAGTAAGCAGTGGCCTCCCTGGGGCTCTCTGAGCCAGCAAGTTTACAGTCACAGAGCAGCACAGCCACCCCAACCACTCTGATGGAATGATCTGGCTATTGTCTGTATACTGAGGGGATGGATCAGCCTAGGCTCAGGACAGCAAGCTGCAGCCCATCAGGAGCAGGAGTAAGCAACCCAAGCTCATATAAGGTAACTTATTCACAAGTTTCCAGGGATCAGGTCATGAATATCTTTGTGGGCCATTATACCTGCCTACCACAATATTCAAAACACCCCTCTAAGGTAAGGGGTGTTTTGATAACTTTTATAAAAACAGACAGTGGGGATTAGAAAGAATAAGCCACTTTCCCAATGACATGCAACTGGATCGTAGTAGAGTTGGGGCTTTGACTTAGTTTTCTGTTGCTGTAACTGAATTCTACAGGCTGGGTGATTAACAAAGACTAAGTGTATATTCAGCTCATAGTTTAAGAGACTGAGAAGTTCAAGATCAAAGAGCCACGTATGGTGAAGTCCTTCTTGCTATGGGGACTCTCTGCAACATAGGGCATCACATAGTGAAAGGGGTGCACACAAGAGAACAGAGCCAAACTGACATTTATAGCAGACCACTCTCAGATAACCCAGTCAACCAAAATGGCTCCATCCATTTATGAAAGCAGAGCCTTCGGGACCCAATCATCTCTAAACCCCCATAATGGGGATTAAGTTTCAACATGAGTTTTGGTGGGGACATTGAAGGCATAGCAACCTTGAACTTAGGCCATTTGGCTTCTTAAGCCACACACTGGAGTTTGAGTCCAACATAGGCAGCTGACCCCCTGAGGCCTCCTACAGGATCTTTCATCTTCCCTATCTGAGCTGGGCAGTCTGGGGACCTGGTTACAGGAAGGAATGCCCTGAGCCCCTTTTTTCTGAGCACAACAATGGTAGCTTGACAAACACCAGATTCACACAGATGCCCAGAGTTGCCTATTTCTACTCTCCTATCTTTGGACACATAGCCACTCCTGAAGGCCTTAGGGTGGATGTAGGTGTTTGCTATGGCTGCTTAGGGACAGCAGGACAGGGGTGGGCAGGGAGGGAAGTTTGCCTGTGTGGAGTGCTGCCCATCCAGCTACAGCAAACACAATAGCAGTGTTTCCCAGGACCCTAGAGTGACTCTCCTCCCCACCTTTAGGGGCTCTGGATTCTGGAGCTTCCTGTCAGCCTGGTCCAATGGGGACCAGTGAGGCTGCACCCATGGCTAATGCCTGGTTCTGACTGCAGCTGGGGAAGCTCCCCTCCCTTCATGGTGCATGAGAGTATGGCAATCCAGAGATGTTAAGTGAACCTCCTAAAATCAAACAGCTAGCTTGAAGATAAGGGGGACTGGAACTTCCCTGGTCAGCCTGACCTTAAGATGGTGAGCTTTCTTTTGCCACAGTCACAGTGGCTCCAGCTATGGGCTCTGTTGGTACTGAAAATTAATGATGAGGTTGGTTTACTTCGCCACGGCGGTTACCCTCAGCCTATTGCTGGGCGGCCGAGTCCATACTGCTGTTGCTCGCTATGGGTTCGCGACCCGGGGGCTGGCGGGCTCAGGCCCTATGGGCCATGAGCCGGACCCGGATTCCGACTGGGAGCCAGAGGAGAGGGAGTTGCAGGAGGTCGAGAGGTACTAGCTCCTTTCCGGGCCCTCAGCCTGAAGCTGGCCTTGGGCCTCGGCGCTTCAAGCCGCGCCCCCTTAGCGCTGGGCGTCCTCCAGCCGCCTCCACTGTGACTCTAGTTTCTTCTTACCTGTTGTTAGCGGCGTAGGGACAGATGTTCAGCTCCCTTGCGACCACAGGTTCCTTCGCTAGTGACGTATATTTCGTTACACTTTTAGATAGTTCAGCATGCTTACGGGCAGTTATTGTTGTAGGTGTTAGATTTTGGGGTCGGTGTACAGAGCGGCGTTAAGCTGGCAAACATGGCCCGGTGGCCTTTACTGACACAAAAGAGGGCTGGGCTGTTGGTGATTTAGCCCAAGGCTTTTCAGACACCCATCTTGCTTCCACGCATGGCTTCTGCCATTGGGTCTCTCCCCCAGCACCCTGAAACGACAGAAAAAAGCAATTCGATTCCAGAAAATTCGGAGGCAAATGGAGGCGCCAGGTGCCCCGCCCAGAACTCTGACCTGGGAAGCCATGGAGCAGATATGGTATTTACATAAGGAATTTGCTGAGTCCTGGTCAGTTCCCAGGTTGGCTGAAGGTTTTGATGTCAGCACCGATGTTATCCGAAGGGTTTTGAAAAGTAAATTTTTACCCACTTTGGAACAGAAACTGAAGCAGGATCAAAAAGTTCTTAAGAAAGCTGAGTTTGCCCACTCACTCCGGCAGCTCCAGGGCTCTAGAGATACCGTTAAGCCACTTGCTGCAGGCCACTCTGTATCAAACTCTTTTCTGATGCCAGGGGATGAAGCCTCATCTGAAGGTCAGCTTCACAGCACAGCTTTGACAGTTATAGAGTCAAAAACTCACAGTACAAATGCTCTGAGACAAAAGGGAAGGAATAAAGGAATCCAGGGCTTGAAGAAGGAAAGCTTTGAGCCTATCACTGCAGCCTTAGGTCATCAGAGAGAGCTGCAAAAATACTCCAATGATTGTGTAGGCACCAGAAGAACTGACAGTAATGGATTGCCAAGTGATGAGAAACTGGAAATGTTGAAGACAGGGGAGCTACGGAACCAGAACTTCAGCAGCAAAGTAGTGCAGAGGGGACGGGAGTTCTTTGACAGCAATGGGAACTTCCTGTACAGAATTTGAGTTGGGGCCCGGCTTGTGGAGATGCCATGTGAAACAGCTAGACTAATATATTTGGAGCTGCCAAGATTTCTGCATGTGGATATCTACTTTGAAATAGGAGGAATTTGATGAGCCTGGAATATGGACAGAAAGAGCTGCTTGGTTATTCAAGCTTCTTGGATCACTGCTCCCAGTCTGACCTGTGTATCTTCAGTATTCTCCTTTTTGCTTAACTTCTGTATGTTGAAAATCAGTATTGTTTCTGTGATACTTGCAATAATATGTTTGGGAGGAAGTGAAAAGTTTGCTTTCTGACCTCATTTCCTTCTTGATCATTGAACACTAACAGTTTTTGAGCTGCTTAGTAAATTGGTTCTTTTATTTTCCTTTGGTGCGAAAATAAAATGTAGCAGTTCGTGTTGAAAAAAAAAAAAAAGAAAATTAATGATGATGATGATGATGAAGATGTTGTTGTTGTTGTTGGAGTAACCCCATCTTCAACCACAACCTAAAGAATCTCAAGAAGCCCACTCACTGATCCAACTCAGTTATCCCTGACTGAGAGTGTCCCCGACAACCTGGAGGGGGCCTGAGGTGGGCAGGGCACAGTCTCTGCCCTTAAGAAATCAGGAGACATTTTCTTCCCAGCTCATAGCGAGATAAACAGCTTAGTTGCTAAGAGAAGAATTACTTAGGCGTAGGGGCAGGAAGTGTTCCTGAGGGGGTCATGTCCCTGGGTCTCCCTGCATTGAGTACAGCTCCTTAGGAAATGTGCACAGAGATTAACCATGGGATGTGTGGGCAAGGGGTAGTCTGTGTAGCTAGGGGACCCATGGGACTGCTCTGATAATTCTGAGGGTGCCTGAGTGGTGGGCACTGGACATGGAGAACTAAAAGGAACAGAAAGAAACCTGAGAGCCAAAGCTCAGAGTCCAGGCCCAGGTCCAGGGCTGGGGGATCAGTGGCAGAAAAGGAAAAGGAAGGAAGGATTTGATCACCCCCATTAGACTCAGAGTTCTGGAAATTAGAGGCCAGGCAGGGGCACATGAAAGTCCCTCACTCCTCACCAAGCATGCCCATCCCTTTAAGAGAAGAAAAATCTTGATAATTCTTGGAAATATGGAAGAACTCCAAGTATATGCATCAAACTAACTACATACATTTCAAGTCATAGTTCTGTTTGCACTCTTCAACTGTATAAAGTGATGGTTTTCCAAGATATCATTTAAAACATGAGGCAATATTTTGGAATGAAATTGACCAAATTATATTGTGTGTGTGTGTGTGTGTGTGTGTGTGAATGTGTACCAACAAATCCCATTAATATATATAATAAAAATTTAAATAGGTTTTTTTTTTTAATATTTAGTTTTTAGATTTAGGTGGATACAATATCTTTATTTTTATGTGGTGCTGAGGATTGAACCCAGTGCCTCATGCATGCTAGGTCAGAACTCTACCACTGACTACAACCCCAGCCCTTAAATAGATTTTTAAAGAGACCAAAAAAAAAAAAAAGGGAAAAATTATACTGTTAGTGCCATCTAGTGGAGGGATCTGCCAATTCCATTACCCACAGTGCAGGCCCTCCTTCCCATCTCCAACCTTTCAGCCTGTCTGCGCCTGATTTCAAATCATCTAAGAACCCACATGGCCAGCCATGGAGCAAGGCACTGAAGAACAGTGTTACAAATGGCTTTAGTTCCAGTGAGGCTGCCTCTCTTATCCGGATGGTTGAGGTCCACGGCTCTACCCTCCACTTAGTCAATACACAAAGAGTGCAGAAAGATGGAAACAATTACTTTGGGCAGAGGTAAGGGTCCACTCCCTGAAACCATGAGAACATGCAGGGATATCACTTATAAAGTTTAAAGGAGCCTGACATAAGGGATGACTGGCTTTTTGTATCTTGCCTATATAGTTAGTTATACACCGGATTTGTGAAAATCAAGTTGGACTACGATAGCAAATTGGCAGATTGCCCCAGCAGAGGGGAGGCCAGGCACATGGGTGTCCCTCAGCATTTGGTTCCTGAGTGGAACCATTGGCCTGGAGAAGAGAAGATAAGATGGAGCTACAAACTTGCAAGAATTCTCCAGGTGTGGGGTAAAGAGGACGATGATACCACCAGGGAGTCAGCTGGGATTTGGGCTGGAACACACTGAAGACTGTCAGTGCCTAGAGAAGTGCTTTGGGTGGGTACCTCATGCAGGTAGGCCTCCTAGTCCACCCACCCCTCTCCCCACATCATCAACCAGGGAAGATGCTGCACCCTTGCCCACGTCAGCAAAGAGGTGTTTGTCTTTCCCATCTGCCTCCTTCCTAGTCCAGGGAAAGACTGGAGAAGCAATCCCTCCCACCCTCCACTACCACTCATATTCCTGAAAGATTTGAATGGACCTGAGTGAACAGAATCAAGTGTCAAAAATGTGAATGAAACTGTTTGAATAAACTAAGAGTGACAGACACACTCTGGACTCTGGGTAAAAGTTCCAAGTGAGCTGCTACTTAAAGGTGGAAAAATGTCAGGGAGAATATTGGGAAAAGAAAATCATTTCATATGTATTCTCCAATGAGTTTAGCTTCTTTATATTAGGTAGGGTAACTGCTCTTGACAACCCTCAAATCACAGGATCTTGACCAGTATATGTATTTGTCTTTTACATATAGTCATAATGAATGCTCCTGTTTGGCAGGCAGCTGGTCTCCAAGCGTCTTCCTATCTTGTGTCTTTGCCATTTGAAAACTGTGGCTTACAAGAGCATCTTGGTTATCTCCAAGCTAAGCAGCCAGAATGCCAGGGAGGTATACTGGTCCAGACACCCAAAGCTTACTAATCATCTCCTCCAAGCCCACTGTACAGAACTAAGTCACATGGCCTTACTTAAGCCCAAGGGATGCTGGGAAATGTAGTCCAGCTGTGCCCAGGAGGCCAACAAGTTTGGTTTAATGAGCAGTCAGTAGTCCCGCCATAGTGCTCAATGAGCTAGTTACCTAAGAGTCATTGAGACATGTTTCTATTCTCACAGAATTAACAAGGTCAAGCACATGGACAGGAAATCAGACCCACAGGATGAGAAGTGCTAGGCAGAACATAAATATACAGATTGTATGCAACCAGAGGAAGAGACTCTAACACATATGGGAACCATACAGGACTTCTAGAATAGAATGATAAGGACCCTGCTCCCCAAAGGTTAAGTAAGCCAAAGAAGAAGAGAGATGGGGGAGAATGAGTACATCTTAGGCAGAAGCATCAGTGTGTGAGTATGGTGAAGACAGACACTGCATGCATCCAAGGAGCTCAGTAAATGGTTAATTGAATTTAAACTAAGTTTTGGAGAGGGGGCTAAGCTCATTGCCAGAATGGAAAGTGGTCTTCTGTGGGAGGAGACTGAAGTAGGGCTACAGTTCCCAAAACTTCCCAAGCCTTAGAATCACCCAGAAGGTTTTTGAAATACTGGTTGCTGAGCTGGTGGTAGGGCAGAGGTAGAGAGGTGGCCCTGGCATAGAAAGCAGGGAACTTAAAATCTTCAGACGGGGAATGAGGAGAAATCACAGAGGGAGTGAGTGAGAGGAGGTCTGTAGGGGTCCCAAAGAAAGCTATAACCAGTATTTTAAGAACATAATTATTAACATGGGGGTGGAAGAGAGCAGGATAATGTGTGGAGATGTTGCTTTGTGCTTTGATCTCTCCACCTTTTTCCTTTGTTCCAGCCAGGCCTCAGATCCATTTGCCTCCATGATAGGTGATCCCCTAGGTACATCCTCTCCCCTTCTCCCAGATAATTATGATGTGCAAAAGGAGAGAGGCATTCCCCGCCCCCAGCAGTCACCCCCACCTCTGGCAATGACTCAGGAAGGTGACAAATCCCAGGAAGCTGGCCCCAAGCACCAAAGTCCTGACCCAGGCAGATACCCAAACAAGGCAGAGAAATGAGAGTCTCAAGTGCCTGCAAACAAAGGTACCAGATGACTACCAGGACCAAGAATGGCCCCTAATCCTTTTATAGGACCCACCTAAGCCTGGTCACAAGAAAAGGGAGCCCTCACACTTTCCCAATAGGGACCTGGGAGAGTGGGGCTCAGGGGTGGAATTCACACGATTTTATAATAAATGTGATAGTTGATGAGTTCCTGAGGTTGTAGATCAAGATATGCAGAGGTGCCACAGAACTTATCGAGTTCTTTCTAAAGATGAAGACTGAGCACCACCACATTGATACTTTTACTGTACTTCTAGGACTAACCTTTACTAACCCATTTATCAGATGAGGCTCCTGTGACTCTGACAGACCAACTAACTTGCTAGGATCCCACAGCCAGTTGGCATCGGAGCTGCAACTTGAACAGCTCTAATCCTGGAGCCCTGCCCCTCTTCAGTGCTGGCTCCCAGGTCACGCTTGAAGGAGCCAGGCCCCACAAAGGGGCTGGGGCTCAAGGGCTCTGCATGTTCTGCCCGCTGGGATTCTTCTCTACCAGGGCAGTTGCCTGGCAAACCCTGCCCCTCCCTGTCCTTCAAAAGCTGTCTAAGGTTTGCAGACATGATCCTGTGGGCCTCCCAGGCTCTTGGGTTTCTTGGCAATACTGGCATCTGGCCCAAGGCCAAGTTTAGGCCTTCCTCTAAACCTGCAAGGGAAGGGGGGGGGCAAGAGGTGGAGAGGCCTGCTATTAGTATTCTGGATGAAAAGAGTTGCTAAGACCTTGGGACAGGACAGTCCCCATGAGATGATCATGGATTAAGTAATCTGGATTAAGTAATCAATAAAGCATCTCAACTTATTTCTAAATATCTTCTTCTGTAATTAGTACAGTGCTGCCAAAGGAAGGCAGATGGGTTGACTGCAGGATTCGGATGGAAGCCCTAAGTCTTTCTCAAAAGCAACTGCCTACACTGTCACATCTTTTCTATCACTGGACATATCTCCTAAGGGTCCCCAAGGGCAGGAAGCAGAAGCCAACTATGACTAACTCCAGACAAGGGGAAATTGACCAGAAGGCTAGAGGGCCACAAGGGAAATTACAGGAAACTGGAGAGCTGCGTGTGGAAAGGCCAGGCAGCAGGACTGCTCAGGGGTCCAGGATCCAGAAGTGACATTGGGGTCAGTGTTCTGTGCTGGGAGGTTGAGTTCTCAGTCTCACCCTCTGGCATCCAGCATTGAGCTTGCAGCTGCCTGTCCTTATCCAACCTGTATTAAAACAGATAAGAAGGCTGCTGCCTGCTATCACTAACGCCTGACCTTGAAAGGGAGTCAGCATGCCCAGATTACTTTATAGAAGCAGACTGATAACATGCGCCTGACGTGTCCAGAGCATCCCTGATTGCATTAGCTGCTGCCTGAATGGGAGGGATGTTGATATGGGCCTATCTCAGCACCTGGTACCAGTCAGCCTGCGTCTCAGCCTTACCCTAGGCTGCCCCTTGCTGAGCTGGCCTGCCAGACCATGGGTAATGACCAGAAATGAAATTAGCTGAGAAGTTCTCTAGCGACTCCCACCACTGAGAATAGGAGAATCAGCAGATTCGAGAGTGTCTGCTTAACTTCCCAGCCTTGCAATCTGGACTCCTCTTGTCTTAAGATCACTTCTCCCAGCTAAACACAAGACCCGATGTGAAAAACTCCCACTGGTGTCCCTGGAAAGAGGTGCCCTCGAGGAGGAACCTAAGCCTGATTCCTTGGACCCAATCACGTTCATGAGCAGGTGTTCTTTTTTTTATTATTTATTTTATTTTATTTTTTAAATTTGTTTTAATTAGTTACACATGACAGTACAATAATCTTGACATATCATATATTTGAATAAGATGGGGTATACTTTTTCATTTTTCTGAGTGTACAGGTGGCAGAATCACATTGGTCATGCAGATATATCTATATCTATATCTATATATATATAGATATATATATATAGATATATATATATAGATAGATAGATAGATAGATATATACACAGAGCAATAGAAATAGAATACAAGCCACACTTGTCATACTAGATTTTCTAGTAAATAGCCACCCTAACAGAAAGAAAATAAAAGAAAACAAGTGGTGTTAATTTCAACAACATATTTATTTAATGCACTAGATCCCAAATATTATCATGTGAATGTATAATTAAATATTAAACCCAGGGACTCATGCCTGCTCTACCACTGAGTTCCACCCCCAGACCCCAGTGAAATATTTTACTTTTTTGTGTTTTTATTCTAAATCCAAAGAGTATTTTGCACTTAGAGCATTTTTCAATTCAGGCACTAAATTTTCATTGGAATCATCTGCTCTGTGTTGAGATTTCATATGAGGTTGAAAAAGTAGGCTTACATCCAAGTTACTCTGCATATACTTAAAGCTCTTTCAATAACTGAATTGAAGTCAGCTTTTGAATATAAATATAAATGAAGTTCAATTAAAATAACGCTTCTAGCCACATTCAGGTGCTTAGCAGCCCTGTGTGTCTAGTGATGCCATATTGAGTAGCTCAGGGCCAACTGGGAGGAATGCACACAGGATGCTACCTGGCATAGACC